AGCGGGCCATCCCCGCGGCCCCGGCCCAGATGAAAGCGGAGCGGGCCGGGGGTCACTTCCAAAGCTAAAGTGATAATGGCCATTGTCCCGCCGCCGCCGCACTTAAAGGGCCCGCCGCCTCCTGCCGCCCTGCCCCGCTGCGCCCCGGGGCGCCCGGGCACCCCGCTCCCCGAAGCATCCTCTTGCCCCACACCCCGCCCGGGCTTGCAGCCCCATGGCGAGTGGCAGAGCCCACTAGGGCCATGGGGTGGGAGCTGGGTGCCTGCATGGGGCACCCATCATGTCCCACGGGGGTCAGGCAGTTCCCAAGTGAATGTCACTGCTCYCCAGGCGTTGGCACAGCCTGTATGTGCGTCTGCTCCTTCTCCCCACTGGCTCCTGATGAGGCCATAGTCCTTTTATCCTGCTAGGAGATACCCTTTCTTCTCCCCTTCCTAAGTGGTGCCCTTTCCCCAGCAAAGCCAAGCTGGTGCGACCCTTCGGGCTCCCACGGCAGATAAAGCTCAACTGTGCTGCCCTTCAAAACCTTCTTCTTTGTCTCTGGAAGGCACCCAAATAACAGAAACCTTTACCCTGTCCTCAGTTCTGGACAGCCTCCTGGACAGCCTTACATCTGCCTGCTGGTGCCTGGGCTCTCAGTGGAGCCGGCTTCCTCCCTACTATCTCTGCCCTGCTGTCTCCTTAGCTTAATCTCAGGGGCGAGGTCCCCCTCCTTAACTCCCACTCTCACAATGGGTTCATCTTGTCTCTCGGGCATCACGTGAGGCTGTGCAAACAATCGGTGTATCAGGCACCTCGCTCCAGCATTGCCATGATGTCAACACCAGCTCCACCCCATGGCCTCTTCACATGTCCAGAACTCTGGAGCTTCCTCCAGAGCCTGTCTTATCCCAGCCTACACCTCCCCAAAACAAGAGCTCAAGGAGCCCATCTGGTCTTGGATTTGAGGCCTGGGTGCATTTTAATGATGGGGTCATAGTTTCGTCAAGAGGGACGAGTTGGGATCTTTGCTAACTGGTCTCAGTGCTTCATGTCCCCTTTGTAAATGCAGGCAGTATCTAGTTTCCTCTCCCTCTCCCCAGTCTATCCCTGGAAAGCAGCCTGAAACCTGCCACAACCCTCCCAAATCCATTGAGGGGCACAAAGTAACTCCTGATGCAGAGACAGCAAGGGCTTCCTGTCCTGCATGCCACTGCCTTTGGGGAATATCACTGTGGCACTCATTTCTGCTGCAGCATTTGGCAACAAGAGAACTGGATAGCTCCCAGAGACACCATRTGTAGGATTCTTGTGCAATTCAGGAAGAAACTAAACACAGATATTTCAAACAGGATTAATAAGTGTGCCCAGTTCTCTTTCCTGCTGCCTTCCCTTCCACCTCAAGTCCAGCAGCAGGCCTTGCCGCACAAATCAAGGCATAACCAGAGCATTTTTCTCCCCTTCTCTTGTCCCACATTTGATCCCAGGAATGAAGGGAGAGGCCAGGCAAGGAGGGTTTGACAGGAAGAAAGGGCTCCATGGAAGCTGTGGACTGGCTGCTTGGGAGTCCTCCCAGCCTCAGTTAGCAGTCACCATCCCAAGTGACACTGAACCCCGGCCTTCAGGGCTCACAGAGGTCACTCTCACTGGATGCAGAGAAGTAAGGAAGAGAGACCCAAACTCTAAGCCATTTGCTGGTGAGTTTTTTCCCCTTCAGACAATTTTTGTATCTCCAAAGCCAGCTCCACTCTCTTTTCAATCTGTCCAGTCCTGGCTCTTTTCCCCTCCAGCAGGCTGGTGTTCACCTCCACAGCTGCTGAGTTTCCCTTCTCATCCTTCATCCTTTTAASTTCTTCGGTTGCAAATGCAAAGTGGTGCTCACAGGGCAGTGAGACACTGGTAAATGCCGGAGTCAGCAGGGTCAGTGATTAACATAGGAGCTGGAAAACACACAAAGAGACAGCTTGGGCAGTTCTGTTATGCAGATGACTGCACACACCCGCTTCCAGCTTATAAACAGGTAGTTAGCATTTTTCTGTTCCTTGGGGGAGTTCAGTGRGGGACCAGAATGCTTCCTGCTTTGGTGCAGGATGCTTCAGCATTACAACCACGGGGACCTTTGCAGTTTAGCTATAGCTGCCAGAAGCTTTTGTCTGTTGTGTTTTAACCTGCTTGCTTGCAGCCCATTCTCTCCCAGACAAGGCTCAAAGAAAAGACGCAGAGATGTCCAGCTGTGGGGGGTCTCTGAGCACYATGTTATCAGATGTGCTGTAAGGCAGGTTTTACTGCTCCAAGTTTGGGCACAGAGTCTTCTCCCAGGTCAAGAGTAAACTCTTTGTTCAGGTAGAATTCTTGTTGGCTTGAACTTCATGAGGAAGGATRTCTCAAGGACTTGGCGCTGAGTTCTTGTATAATAAGATAGGGCTTGCTCTGGTTCTGTCACTGGAATGTGACTATCTTAAGAGTGCCACACGCGGGACAACATTAAACACTCAGTTATCCACCCCATCAGCAAAGTTTCACAGTCCCACCTAGGGGACCTCCAGGAGTGGAGGGAGTCAGAGTACCATACCCMCTGCAGGGCTGTCCATGGGTAGACCAGATGAGACTATTCAGCTAGGAGTGGATATGACTGAAGTTCTTGGGCAGCCAATTGCCATTTGGGGCAGGTCAGACTTTGGACCAGTTGCCAACACCACCTGGCAGCTGGAAAAGGTTGACCCACRCCACTCTATTATCCATTTATGATCTATACATGGGCTAAATTGAATATTCATCCCCTTAAAGCCATTGCTGGTGCCCTGGCTTCTGTTATTCCCACCTTTCTCCCTCCAGAGCACTGCAGAATTTTAATCTCTCTGGGAAGTCAGGAGAGCTGGGACTGTTGAAGGGCTGATGGAAATGAGAGCGTGGGAGCTTCTGGGAGGGTCCCTTCTTGGCTGGGTTCCTYTCCTGTGCCTGGCATTGCTTCGCAAGGAAAGAGCAATGAGCAGAGCTTGCAGTCTGAATTGGCAACAGAAATAGGGTTGCTGCAGCTGCAATATGCCCACCAGTCTTAGGGAGAAGGAAGGTCAAGTGGTTTTGGTGCGATTTTGCCCAAGAATGACTTGGAAAACATGGAGCCCACCCCAATTTTTATAGTAACTTGTTTACAGTGAATGACAGAAGTCCTGTTTTGGCATTCACATTATCTGGTAACTTCACATTCCCAGTCCTGAAACTACCTTTGAACCCAGAACCTCCTGTTTATGCTGGAGCCCTTAAAGTGATGTTCAGAGAGACCAGCTGTTGGGCTCTGCAGAGAAGTCATGTGAGGCACCATCCCRTCTGTGCATGCCTGGGACAGTGCTGGACACCAGCAGACAGGTCTGCTCACATCATACTGAGAGGGAAAGCAACAAACTATATAGGAAGTTTTCAGCCAGAAGCAGCAGCGCTGGAGTGATTGAATTATAAATAGGAGATGATGGGAACAAAAAGTCTTTTTAGTTGTGCTTAAGTGAGAACTGGCAGGCAGAGACATCTAAGTGCATCAGCCTCAGCGAGGGACAGCAGTTAACAGGTGTGACTTCAGCTGTGTGACTGAGAAAAAAAGGGGCAGCACAGACGGCAGAAGTATTTGGCCTGAACTTTAGGACAGCTTGAGAGCAAGGCCCAGTCAGGAGTGTAATCTCCTAGAGGAAGTGGGRAACTGGCCTAGGCATTAGATATCACCTTGGACAAGAGACTGGAGGCCCCTAAGTCTCTCCCACACCCTAATGCACTCTTTCTTTGAAGTGGGTCAGAACTCAGGGTYGTTCCCCATCCTCCAGCAGCCCTCAGTGCCACCTCCTTTCCATCTCACAGAGAATACCAAGGGCTCTCATTGCTGTTCTCTCTCTAAMTTAAAATAACTCTTTTTGGGACCAGGGGACATCAGTGCTGTCTCCTGAGAGACACTCAGAATACTCTGCCCCTCTTCTAATGGTGACTACTTCTCAGCTCATCTTCCRAGTAATGTTCAGCACTGACTAGTCTAATGCACCAGGAGTGCACAGTAGAGCCAGATCTACCTATGCCCTGCCCTGGGGTACCAGTGCCCTGACAGTAGGTCCCATCTCTAATTCACCTCTGCTCAGCTTGGAGCTCTTTTCCCTTCTGGCTTCTGTCTGGCTGGGCTCTGTCTTCCTTCCCATTCTGTGAGATGGGAGGGAAAGTTTGAACTTGGTGTTGGCACTGTGCTCTTGCTTCACAATTCCTCTGTGAGGCTCTCAAGCACACAGGAGAAAATTAAATGTGAAGCACCAAGTGCAGTACCACAGCACCAAACAAGGACTAGGARTCCTGGCTGCATCTTGTGGTCCTGGCCGTAGGTGGGAGGCTGTGGGAGAGCTGGGAACTGAAGGAGATTCAAAGTCAAGATCAAAGCATTTCCCTCTGAAGCCCTAACACTCTCCTTCCCTCMCACTTGCACATAAAAGCACTCTGCCCTCAGCGGGCTCTTCTCTGGGGAGAGTGGGTGGAGGAGGGGTCCCTTTTTGCCCCTTTTTTTTTCCTGTGTTACTAATAATTCTTCTCATAGGTGAAATGGTGAAAATCGTTGA